GGGCAGGTCCCTGGCTGCCCCAACCCACCTCACACCCACCTGCGGGGCTGCCCGGCCATCCTGGTGGGACACGGGGGTTCCTGGGGCCGGATGGACACTGGGGCCAGACATCCCTGGGCTCGGCGTCCTGGGATGGCATCGCTGGCATCAGTTGTGGGAGAGAGGTTGGGTGAGGATGGGACTGGAGGGCACCAGGACTGCAGGTGGGGACCAGTGTCACGGCATCGGGGTTCCCTGCACAGCTGAGCCCCAAACGCTGGGGAGAGCCAGGGCTGGCACAGGGTGGAGTGAGGCAAGGGGCAGGACCACAGCTGGCCCCTGGTGACAGCTCACAGCCACCCGGGGTGACAGTGGTTCTGTCACCTTGGGCTGGAGGGGAAGTGAAACCCAAACTGCGGAGGGGCCGAAACCCACAGACCGCGAGCGCAGGGGGTGGTGTGGCCGCGGTCCCTCCACGGGCCGGGTGTCAGTGGGACACTGTGACACTGTGACACCACTGCTCCGGCCGGGCCTGGCCAGCACCTGGCCCAGGAGGCAGCACAGATATTCCTTTTGGCCAAACTCATCCGACCCAGCAATCCTGAGCCCCGAGCAGGGGTTGGGGATCGGCCGCGGGCAGAGAAGGGCGATGGAGGGGAGGTTTCATTGCTGCAATTCCCAGGGTGACCCCTCGGGGAACTGGGAACACCGGGCACCCCTTTCCCTGGGTCAGCCCGAGGTCAAGCATGAGGTGAAGCAGCTGTTACCCCTCACCTCTGTCCTGACAGCTCTTGGTTGTCACCCCAGAGCACCAGGAAAGCTGCTCTGCCCCTGGGCATCCCCTGAACTGCCCCAAGGCCACACACCCAGCACCCAGCTGGGCTGTGGGAAGGGATGGAGCTGCTCCCGTGCGTGGTGACACAAGCCCTGCTGGCAGCAGGCCGGGGAAGGGTCCATGGCTGTGTCCCCTCTGTCCCCAGGCAATTAGTGCCAAAACAGGGGCTGAAAGGTCTATTAACGCATAAAACCCAACAGGGAGTTGCTTTCATATCTGAGTCAGGCCAGCACAAACCCCTGGTTTGTGCCCCTGCTGCTCTGTGACAGTGAGGGCACTCGGCTGGGCTTCCCCTTCCACCCCTGGTGTCCCTCCAACCTCTCCTCCAGGACCACTGTGTCCCTCAGCTCCCCTGCAGCTCCAGGCACTTCTGGCCTCCTCTGGCGACTCAGGACACAAACCAAGCAGAGTTACACCTACTACGTATTTTATTGTATTTTATTTGCATAAACAAACTTCGGGGCTTTGCTAAACAGGAACTGTTCAAGTCAAAACAAACCAAACTCTAGCTGGTGTGTGGGGAACAGCACAGCAATCCTGGGGAGGGGAGAGGGGAGCGTGGGCACGGCTGTGCCTCCCCGCCCAGGCTCAAACCCGGCCGGGAACCATCTGCAAACTGCTCCAGGTATTCTTAAAGCAGAAGATACAAAGAAACACATCCTAAGGGCTGTCCTCAATCAGCTCAGGAGGGATCTGCCTTTTGGTTTTATAAAAAGATTAATAAAAAATATTGAAAAATTCTCATCTCCATTTATATTTTTTCCCCAAGTAGAATTCGGAAGTTCCTTAGAAAATTGTCATCTTGGAAAGGGCACTCAGGTCACAACCAGCTGCAGGGAGGAGACACAAATGCTACAAGCAGTTTGGGGTCCAGCACACACCAGGCCTAACAGTGAACACAAACAGTGGCCAGAAGTAGGGTGTAATTTTTTTTTTTCTCTTTAAAACCATGCTAATTTTGTTAACTTCCAACATAAAAGGAAAACAATCATTTTTAAAAGGCCCTAAACTCAACTGTTACATAAAAAAAAAAAAAAGGTTAAAAAAAAAATCATAGCAGTTTGGTCCCAACAAGTGAATATTTAGATGTTTACTCACATGCTTCATTGTTTTCCTATTTATAAGAACCAAAAATAGTTTCCAAAATTATCTTTGAATTGATGTCGCTACGTACGTAAAGGCCTAAAATAAGCAGAGTATGAATTTAGAAAACTGAATACACAATAGGGGAGGAAAATTTGAGCGGGTGAGCAAACCCTGACCATCACTGGGTCAAATTATAAAAGAGAAACAAATGTCAGGAC